AATTTTAAAATTTTAATTTTCAAATGCGAATATCTCCTAAACTATAAGAGATAATTTACTGCTATGACGACATTTTTTATAGTGCTCGATGAGGAGATTCTATATACGAAATTTTTTTTAAATCGGAACTCAAATGAAGAAATAGGATCGTTTTAAAAATTTAACATAGCCGAGGTGTCCTAATTTGAGGACCCCCCGCCGGGCCCCTGGTTGGCCTATAAGGTCCAAATTCAAAACCTAAACTCGACAACACCTCCTCTTTGTGCATACCAAATTTCATTAAAATCGGATTAACCGTTTAGAAGTTACCGAATTATTTCCCTCTTTTTTTTTTCCTATACCACTGTGCATGGTTATTGGGGATGCTTAAGAAATAACAAATGGGGCAATATACTCTATGAGATAATTCAAAATACAAAATTCATAAATACAAATCTTCCTACATTAGGTGAACATAGTGCAATAACTAACAAAAGTCAAATAGATGACATGATAAATATTTTTAATAACGTTGTTAAAGCAGCAATAGATACATCTGTTCCCAAAAAGCATATAGCGCCAATTACCAAACCAAATGTTACAGAAGAAATTGGAAAAGATTTAGAGATTTAAACGATTATTATGCAATGTCACGATTAAACAAAAATATATGAAATGAGATAATTAATTTCAGAAATCAATCCTGGAATATTACCTTGTCTAATATTGACAAATCTTCTCCGGCTTTTTGGAAAATATCTAAAATTTTCAGAAAGAAATCTAGTAATATTCCGATTTTGAGTGACAACAACAATATTTACTATACTCAGCGAGAGAAAGTAGAACCCAACAAACCAAGCCATAATCAAAATATAACTACATTTTAAAATAAACTTATAATAAAGAATTTTCTACAACATTTCATAAGGATACTTATGATAGGTTTATTTTAATGGAAATTATAAATACTTTTAAAATAATGCTTAAAAAACGCTTCGTATAGCAACAATATTTGCAATAATAATTGCTGTACACTTAGTTAGGATAACAAGTTTTACAAATGTGATTGTAAAAGACTAATGATCGCAATAGTTTTGTAATTGTTTTCCTATAAGATATCCCGTTATTTTATTGCGTGTTTTTCTTATTATTATTCTTCTTCATTTCAGTCTTCTTGTTTAGTTTGGCAAAGGCAGTGTTTTTAAGTGTTTAAGAGTGTAATTTTATAAAATAAAGTAATATAAAATTTGTGTTTAAAAATGGTAATTTAATTAATATATAAAAAATGCCACATAATAAAACAATGTGCTTTTTTACTTTATAGATGCCGCTTTTTCTATAGGATTGAGGGAGGACGAGTTCATAAAAAGTATAAACAAGTCTTTTCCATTTACCAATAATAGACTAATACGTAAAATATATATAGAAAAGTGCAAAATTGTAGAAAGTATAATTGAAAAATATCAGTAAAGTAATGAAAAATAAAAAATATGTATGAAACAAAAAAAACTATTGTTTTAATTGAATTAACAAGCTTATAAAAATGTTACGAAAATAAGCTTACTTCAATCATGTTTCAGAAACTATTTTTCAGTAAGCTTATTTCATAATTGCGATTCTAAGCTTGTTGTAAACTGCAACTAGGAATATTATCACAAGGGTTCAATTTTCTTGATAAAATAATTGTTAACAAGCATTTTACAATAATTATCATAATAGTTTTGCAAACCTAACGCTTATGGTAGTAAGTTTGTTATAAACGAATTTTAAAGCTTTTTGGTTTGTTGGGAAATTTTGGCTGAAACATTCAAATTGAATCACTCTTCTTCAGCTCATTTAAGTGATAGCGTAACTATTTCCGAAGTTAATAATATTGCTACCCAAATACTTAATATGAATTATACCCCACCTGAATCATATTTTATATCCCAGGAAAAAGTAGTTAATATTATCAAAAAACTTAAAAACAACAAGTCGCCCGGTTTAGATGGAATAAATGATAAATGCTTAAAAAATCTACCTAATAAAGGTTTTAAATATCTTACAAAAATATTTAATGCATGTCTTAGTTTATGTTATTTCCCATCTACGTGGAAAATTTCTAAAACCATACCAATACTCAAACCGAACAAGCCAGCGGATTCACCTTTATCATACAGACCAATAAGCTTACTTTCTTCTCTGAGCAAAATACTAGAGAAAATTCTGAAAGAAAAGATTGTAGTTTTCATTGATGATAATAACATACTGCCTCCACAACAATTTGGGTTCAGAACAGAACAGAACACAACACTACTCAACCTTTATAAAAATAAGAAATTTGGTGAAAAATAATTTTAATATCGGTAAATCAACGGGTATGGTCTTACTCGATATAAAAACTGCATTTGACTCAGTATGGCACAATGGGTTAATATACAAATTAAAATAATACAAAACTTTACAAAATAGATATTTTAATGTATATCTGGGTAAAACTTCGTCAACGCAAATTAATATTTCAGCTGGCTGCTCTCAGGGCTCTTGTTTGTCACCAATATTATATAATATATACACAGCAAATGTTCCAGTATTTTCCAATTGCGTTATGTCAATATTCGCCGATGATGCATCAATTCTTTGCTCGGACACATATGCAGTTAACATTATCTCCAACCTTCAAATTGATCTTAATGAGTTAAAGGCTTATTTTGATAAATGGAAAATTTATTCCCCAGTATCCATTACGTTTTATGAATATTCACATCCAATGGGAAAGTAATGTCAAATATCTAGGTGTTATACTTGATGCCAAAGTAAATTTTTACTGTCACATACCTTTCATTATTAATAAGGTCAACAAATTAATTAGGGTACTGTACCCTCTAATTAATAGAAACTCGTAACTGAATATTGATAACAAGAAACTCATTGTTAAATCTATTTTTCACCCCGTTATGTTCTACTGCGCTCCAGTTTGGTCGTCTTCCGCAAAATGTCATATAAAAAAGCTTCAAATAGCACAAAATAAAATACTTAAAATGGTTTTCAATCTTCCTTGGCATTACTCTACTCGACGTCTACATGATCTTGCAGGCATCGAGCTCGTCCATGATAGAATATTCAAATTGACAACAAACTTCAACAGAAGATGTTTAGCATCACAATATCCCCACATTAATGACATGATCTCATCGTAATTTTACCGTAGTATAGAATTTTTATCTTAATAGCTTCAAATAGGTTTTTGTAAATTTTTTTTCGTTCATATATAATAATAGTGGCCTCCGGTAGGTTAGTGGTTAGTGTTCTAGACTGGTAGACCGGAGGTGGTGGGTTCGATTCCCACCTGAGGCACTGGTTAAGGAGCGCACAACAGGCCCGATAGTGGCCTAGGTGTATTTCTTCGGATTTGATGTATATACATCCTCCTTTCAAACTAACTAACTAACTAACATATAATAATAAATCTTCACTGTAAATTTTGTACATATTACAATTAAATAACACATTACTAAGTAGAAAAGGGACATAACCCCTAAACTCTTTATACTTTAAGTCAAATGTAATACAATTGATTTTATTTGAAATAAATAAACAAAAAAAGATATTTTTAACTGAAAGTAGCAAGTGGCACTTTCTGTTTATTTTCTCTTTTTATATCATTAAAAATAAAGAAAATTTGCGGTAAATAACAGCATATAGTGCAGTTTAATAAAATAATATTGACATTTATTTTAAAATAGCAAAATAACTGCACTAGAAAATATTTTACGAAGCAAGTCCTTAATTATTGATTCAAAATTATAGCGCATTTATAATCAAATTGGCAATAATATATTTTTATATGATATGTTTATCAATATTGGATCTCGGGATGATAAAATACTTCTGCCCCTATATTTTAAGACCCATTTGGTCCCAGTTGGTATTGAGTTGCCTAAGTGTAGCGAATATTTTCGGTTTTTTCATTTCATTTTTTTTTAGCATTTTGCAATCAATTTATGCAGCTATGTATTTTAAATTCTGAAGACATGAATCGTTAATCAATCAATCGAAAATATTTTTATTTAATTAGTACATATACAAATTTATTCAGGCCTGTCACAGAATTTCATTCCGATCGAAAGTGGAATCAAATGATGTAATACGATATGAGATATTAACGGATGAGTTCTTAAATTTTGTATATTACATGTGAGGTTTAGTTTGTGTAGAATTAAACATATTCAGATCACAATATTCCATAGATTGGGATTAAACATTAGAAGCAAGTTTTTTGAGGTTTTATAGTGAAATTTGATAAAATTATTACAATTTGTATCATCACAATCTTAAATCTGCCAAGAAGTGACCCATGTTAGAGGGTCAGATTGTTGTTTACCTGGGGAAAAAATTTTTAAATCTCATTTGAAAATTGGACTATTGATCAATTAGGGACATATTTTGACATAAAGTAATTGACTAATACTCAAGACACATTTCAGCAAAAAAAAAAACAAAGACAACTGTTTAATATTTGTCACTTCAAATTAACCGAAATCAGTTAGGTCCATCCTTGAGTCTAATTAACACTAACACTCACAAATAATCCAGCCATTAATTCAAAAAAAAAAACTTCCAATAATTTTGGCCAGGTTTTCAGCCAGAATGCCTGTCTGTGCGTTTTTTGGAGGAAATATCCCTTGAAAGAGATATTAATATTACAGTATAAATCAATCCAAAAATACATTTTTATAACAAAATACTACAAAATGTAAATTAACTTTTTTTGTTTAAGTTTTTATTACTCAACTAAATTACATAAATTGTACAATTTATTCATCATATAAAGACAATAAGTCTTTTTTGTTTTGATTTGATGGATTCATAATTATTCCAACAATCCAATTAAAATTTGGAAATTTACAATGTATGTATATAAATATAAATCAAGCATGTAATACAATAGTTGTTAAATTAATACATGTTCTTTTTTTCTTCTTTACAGCGTAAAAAGTTATTTTTACACTAATTCAGGGGATTTAAAATGACATTTAAAATTACAGATAGTCTTAAAAGTAAAAATTTTATTTGCGTTAATATGAGTGACACAGGCTCGAAAACGAACGACGAAACACATTTTTTCATTTTAAAAACTAGGTATATCTGACTGAAAAATGGTTATTTGGTTGTGCTCACTATTAGTTAGTAAAATTAATAGGGTCGCGAGCGGTTGCCAGGATTATTGCGCATGGGGCCACCACCGCCATTATTGTTGTTGCCACCGTAATCACGACGTCCTCCGCGATCGCCACCACCGCCACCACCGCCGCGGCCACCACCTCCACCACTGAACCTGTTTCCACCACCGAAACCGCCACCACCGCCTCGGCTGTCTCTGTTATATCCACCGCGGTCACCACCTCCTCCATAGTTACCGCCGCCTCCTCCTCTTCCACCACCGCTACCACCTTCATCACCACTTTTGGGTGTTTTACAACGATTGCACTCATTGCGCCAAGCAAAGTTAGTATTATTACAGCTACTACACTTCCAATCACCTTCACGAGGAGCGACATTATTGTTACCGCCTGGACCACCTCCACCGCTTCCTCCCATTCTAGGACGGCCTCCGCGATCATCACCGCCACGATCTCCTCTACCTGAATCGTAATCACCACCACTTCCGCGATCGAAGCGAGGACGGTCTCCACGATCACCACCAGGTCCACCACCACGTCCGCCGCGACCACCACCACCACGGCCACCACTTCCACCGACGCCACCGCCGCCTTTGCTCCAGTTGTTTGGACGTTGAGCCAAAGATACCTTTATTATGCATCCGTTGAAATCACGACCATCAAACCAAGCGATAGCAGATTGAGCCGCATTAATGTCGTCGTATGTAACCGTAGCTTCACCTTTCGAGATACCTGTATCCTTATGGCGATATAACCAAATCTTTGGTTTAGAGGTGCGTTTATCTTTCTAAAAATTGCAAAGAAGAAAAAATAAAATAATATATTGGATTGAATGTAATCTCTCCCTAGTTATAGAAATGATTATAAATTTGTAAAATTTTGAAAAAATATTCTGAGGTTGCTAAAATGTCTGATCTTTTTGATTTTAATAATTATTTTAAATACTTACCTTAATTATTCCAATTGCACCGAAATGAGTCTCAATATCCATTTCAGTAGCCTCTGGATCCATACCAGAAACAAAGATAGTGTCCTCTTGAGTAATTAAATCACTACCTCCGCCACCTCCTCCAAAACTACCGCCTCCTGAGCCTGTAAATTGTTGAACTATTACTATATGTACACAATTTTGATTATAAAAATACATTCACAACTAAATTATAATAAAAGTTAAATAAATTATAAACTACTGCTGTTTAACAATTTTCAAAGAAAACTATTATAAAATATAAAAATTTAGTACTTGATTCATTCATATATTTTTAATAAACCCAATATTTATGGCGTTGAACCTTTATAAAACATACTCCAAGTTTTTTTTATATGCACGTTACATTATTTCTTTATTTTTGATAACCATATTTTAACCTTTTTTGACAAAAATTTGTAGACAACCATTTTCAGCTTTTTTAAATCACACTCAATACAGATTTTGTATTTTCTGTTTTGATTACAGTTTGCCTTTTTAAATTTTTTTTTAACACGTCAGATCTTTAAACATAACCTTGTAATTACATCTCATATTTACACTTTTTAGTACAAACTCTTAAATGTATATTTTTCCCACGTTTTCTTTGTGGAAAAATTTAAACATTTGAATTAAAATCATCTAACTCAGTTTTACCAAATAAGAAATTTTTGTAATGAGGACTATACAAATATTTTAAACATATTAGTGGTTATCCTGAATGTGTTTTAACGTGGACATGAATTGTGGTCGTAAGCTAGTCAAAAATATTTTTAGAAGTGTTCTATTCCAAAGATACAACCAAATTAATACAACCGTTTGACAAGTTTATACCCAATTTTTGAGACATTGATTTTAGTTGCAAACACGTGCCATTTTAATGTAGAACTTTACTACTTGTTGACAGTAGATTTAAAGAAATTAGTCAATACATTTGAACCTTATATGTATGTATACCAACTTAAAAGTTATTTAAAAAAATAGTCCTAACTTATTTTAGTTAAATATTATTTTAGCCTTAAGGAACAAATTGATTTTGTAAACATTGAGTTTTTCTACAAATAATCCATAGAATTAACGATAAGAAGTATAAAGATACAGTATTTATCCTAAGAAAATCGTACGTAAAATTTAAAAATTATTTTGCAGGTCTCAAAAATAGTTGTATGTAGTAAGATTTTGTAAGTAAATTAAATACAATAGTAAAATGGTATTACAAATTGTTATACATTACTCTTTAATAGAAGATTGCATAGCAATTTGTTATATTGCTTGCATTTTATTTTTACCTTTATTATAGTTGTCCTTGTTGCCGCCTCCGTTTCTAAAATAGGATTGTAATAGTAACGCATCATTTAACGATTTGTATTCAATATTCAATCAATTATGTAAAATATTTTGTGGATAATTGTTAAGTTTGATAGGTTTAATTTACTTTTTCAATCGATGAGCGAAGCGATGACGACCTTCCTTTTTTTAATCTTGTCAATTTATGTTGATATTTATAAAATGTATGCGATCAAGTAGTGTATTTTACGAGAGGTATATTTTCTTTTGTTCACATTTACACCAATGACTCTTTCTTAACCTCATAATTTTTAACCATTCATTTACAAATCGTTACATTTCTATATTTACTTTTAATTTAATGAGTGAACGACGTTTACCCATTATATAGTAAATACTTTTTATATACTTTTTACAGTCTGTTGTGACACTTTGTCTTTTAAACCATTTACACTTTTGTTAGAAAAAACTTGAAAATACCATCAAAAATATATTATACATTCAAATTTATTAAAAAAAAATAATGAAATCCTTACCCTATATAAAATATTGCTTCTCAACTTGTTTTCTTTCCTTGAAATAATATAAAACACTTACATATAAAATTACGTTTATAAAAAACCGTTGTATAAGAATTAAAATTATATTCAAAGGTAGGTATTTTACCGTTCTTTTGTGTTATTGACATCATGGAGTTTGATCTTTAATTTCGATTACTTTAATATTAATAAGCGAATTTGTAAAAACCTCATGACAGAATATCATTACAATTATTACAACGTTGGAGTTATTATATTTTGTCATATAGGACAAATTTTTGTAGGAAATTCATTCATACATAGCCCAGTGATGTACTATATTGGCGTCCTTTGAGAAAGTAAGCTATGACATTCCGATCTACATCTAATAATGAACGACATCTTGTTTTACAATATGGAATTTTCATCAACAAACATTTATTCATCATTTATACACATAATAAGCTTTTGGATTCGATTTTTGAATTTATCTATTTTTATCAAAATTTTTTTTTGGTTATATAAAACCAAACTTCAGGTCTCATTTCAAAATTTCTTAGATAACGCAAACAAAGAAGAAAATTGGTAAAATGTATCTATTAAATTAAAAAAATCAAAACATTGATAGAGATCAATAATCTAGATTTCTAGGCCAACTTTCGAAGAGTTGAAATATTTTACGACTGAAAATTTTCATCAATGTAACAAATTTATTTATTACACGTAAATATTTGCAATCACGCAGATCAATAATGTTGATATATTATATTTTAACATTATATTACATATTAACAAACTGTTTTTAGTTTGGCCAACACAATAAAAACCCAAATATTAATATTTGTGATCATATGGACTAGTTGACCGACCGATTGCCGGATATGAGTAAAATGAACACTTATATATTATATGAACATATGTAGATATAATTTGCATTGAACTATTGAACATTGCCTGATTACTTTTTTTTACTATAATTTGCTAAAATATCTTAAAAGCATAGATATTTGAGTGAAAAATCAAAACAAAACAAAATTAACCGGCCGATGACTGACATATACAAATTTGTAATAGATTATGATGCTAACAAAATGGCTGCAAAACATACACATTTTAGTTGAGAAGCATTGAAAAATGTTTGACGTTCGTCGTTATTAACATATTTTGAGGTGTAAATAAACCAAATACTCTAATTTGGATGATCTTAAAAAACCTTTAACTTCTTTATATTTCTTTCAATTGTCCACTTTAAATAATCACTAAAGTAAAGATACATACCCATATCCACCTCCACTATTGCCACGGTCTTGCCAGCCGCTTCCACCAGAACCGCCGCCACCGCGACTTCCAGAATCATAACCTTTTTTCAAACAAATCACACATTTAATTACACGAAAAGAGTAAAATAATGAAATGAACTATTTACCTCCTGGTTTAGAATAAGAGGGTGGTGGTTTACTATATGGCCCACTATTACCATCAGACATTTGGAAATTGGGTGGGGGCACTGAAAAATTATTGTATCCACCACCTCCTCCTTGTCCACCACCGTAGCCTATATTTTTAAGTTAAAATATTTACATTTTACTCTTGCACTTTCAATAATTAACTTACGATCCATATTTTTAGTTATTGATTAATAAACGTAAACGTGTTTTCCACAAAATTACTACTTTTGTACCACTCGAAAAAGCGACCTTCACAAATCAATGATAAAACACGATTGAAAGAAAAAATATTAAAGTTCTCTATTACAGTAATCTATTACAAAATTTACAAAAAATGGCGGTCCTACAATGACAGTTGTTCCTACATAGAGATGCCATATTACTGTAATAGTTGCGTTGTTTACAACAGTGTTCACACGAAAATATATGCCGTCTACACGAGATTTTCTTTTGCCCGAAAACAACGCAACAAACGTTAACGTATCAACATTAATTATTATCATTTTAAAATGCCATTAGGCTATGAGACTTTACGTATGGAAAACCAAATGAAATTCCATCCGTATTTTTAAAAAAATCGTATGATTATATATTTTTTGCGTTTACACTATTAATATGAAAATAGAAAGCTATTACTTTTTTTATATGTGTTTACATAAAAATACATCCCTGATCTAATGAAACTTTTTGTTTTTGAATGAAACATATTGCTTTTAGACTATCCCATCCGTTCTCTTCTACACACAATTTAGACAGATCATATTACTTGTGGTATTGTAAACTGGCTTTTAACGTCATGATCAGGGTGTACTGAATACAAGGTAACATGGTTAGCCCAGTTGATCATTGTTTACAAGTTCTTATAATTTTTATTAAATTACTTAAACTTTTCTACATTAATTACATCTAACTTAACGTAAAACTTAATTTCAATTAATTAACCCAATTGTGTCTAAAATTAAATTTAATTTTAACTGTAATTAACCTATTATTGTAATAACATTTTTACACTAATACTTTATACACATATACACTAACATACATACAGAAATACACTTAAAATCTATAAAAATATAAGAATTTTTAATTCGAAATTACATAATAATCCCAAATTCAGCATCACTTCAGGCCTGTTGTCATGGTTAAAAAGTTTTAAAATTGTGTTGTGTTTAAATTCTCAAAGTTTTTTGTAAAAATATTATAATTTGAACATTAACGTTATTAACATAATATTTTAACATTTTATGTTAATAATATTTGAAGTAAATATAATTTTTGTTGTTTGTTGTTGTAGTATTTCAATTTAGAATATATGAAATTTTTACTTTAAATTAAAAACAAAACAAAACATCTATTCTACACAATAAAAATTAACCATTAATCTTTATGTTTAGTATAAACTTTATAAACAAGTTTAGTTTGCATTTTAATAATAAATTTGGTCATGCTGAACACAAATCCCTAAAAATATTTGAAATCGTTTTAGGGCCAATCTTTAGGTGAAAGATTAGCGATTAAATTAAAATTAATCCTCGAAAGATGTTTTTGAGTACTCAATTAGTTAATTTTGTTTGCAAGTTTAAGCGCCCAATGGAGGTGGTTTAATCTTAAGCACGAAATCCAAAAGAGTAAACAGCTGATGCAAAAAAATTAATAAAATTTTTATAAATATAAACATTAAAATGTTCTATTTATTGATTAGTATAAATTATGGACACTTCAAAATACATTTTTTTGTTTTTAATTTAAGTTTTCATTAATTTTCATATTAAATTTACAATTGTCTTCTTCTTTTTTATAAAATATGCATTGTTTTGATAACAAACAGTGAAATTTTCTGTTGTTTTGTATGGCAACACTGCGAAGTTTAATCTTGTACTCAAAAACATCAAATGGTATTAACATTGGATTAAATTTATTTTTAGATTAACTAATCTAATTATTAATTGCCATTTGATTGCCAACTCAAAAACCCGGTCTTAATAGTTTTCGAGAGTTTTATTGCCGTGTTTAATCATATAACATTTATTTTGGACAAAGCCTTATAATCTGTTGCTTTTTCAACAATTTGGTTTAATTACTTCATTAAATTTGTATGAAAGCTCTCTATCTGAAGGTTGTAAAAAAAATTTCGTAGAAGTAAAAAAAAATCTGATATAAATTTGTGAATAATTTTGCAAACAACGCAAAATTTTAAATTCTTTTTATATAACGATTTATGGTCGTAAAACCATATTGCAGAAGAAAAAAATCAAAACTCTTCACGAACTAGCGAAATAAAACTGAATACCCTATTCTGTTGTTTTTATAAACAAAAAAATAGGAGTTGTTTCCCAATAAGCACTCAAAAAATTAAAATTCAAGTGCTTGTGTTTTAATTGGAATTCAACTTAAATTCCAGCTTATTTTTCAAATATTTTTCAAGTAAAAAAATGTTGAAAAATATTTAAAGTTTTATTCAAACTTAATTTTTATTGTCATAAAAAATTATTAATTTTGTGATTTTCCAAGATTTAAACCGTGAAAGCAAAAAACAATTAATAAAATAAAGTAAAAATATAGATTAAAAAATACACCGTCGAAAGTTTCAATCAAAAATTATAGTAAGTGTCATAGTAAGATGAAATAAATTAAATGCAGAAAAAATTGTTAATTTTTGCTCAACGCTCGCAAGACAACGACTCGATTCAAAATTAGCAAGTTAATCAAAATGTAAGTAATCTACCTCAAAATGAAACGCTTTTTCAAAACAACACCATCAACGAAGTAATGAATTGAAAATTAATTTAACTAAAACTTCATATGCAATAAAAGAAGATTTTATTAAGATTGAGGCAAAAATTCAAGATTCAGAAGAAAATTTTGAGAAACTAGTATACCAGAATCAGTAGAAGATGATGTTACTAAACAGTTTTGTTGGCAAGGTTCCAAAGATAAATCGAGATAAAAAATGTTTCAACTATGTTAGCAGTTAAAGGTACCTATTTATTTAAATTTGGTATTTTGGATGTGGGATTTTCGACTAAATTTACAAATATTTCAGTTGCGTACCGCCAAAAATTTGCCGATCACAGCGAATCACAATTTGAAAAAGTAGTTATAACGTTTTTCCAGCAAGCAAAAAATCGATACGGCAAAAAACAAAGAAAACATTTTAATTTGTTGTAATATATTCTAAATGTTTATAAACTTTACATTTTTACTTATAATTAATATTTGCAAACAATTAAAAGGCTTGTTTACATACATATACACATGTATGTATATCATTGCATTATTTTAAGTAAATTTACTAAAAATTTTAATATTTAAATTTACATATTTTTTTTAGTAATATTTTGTTGTTAACATAATTTTGTGTTACATAAATATATGAAATAATTTAAATATTAAAAAATCTAGTTAATTTTATTTAGGAGTTTAGTAGAGTGGCATTAAAAATGCTTGAATAGCACTGTTTTTTTTACTTGAATTACCTTATACTTCAAAGTTTTGAATTAAGCTGTATTTCAAAGATGGAATTCAAGCATTTTTTCTATTTGAATTATAATTTAATTCAAGCCTTGAATTAAAGTGTAATAATACTAGAATGTTCGACTTGAATTCAAGTTTCCTTTTCATTGGAGAATGCTATTGAATTAAAGTGTAATGCAAGTGTATTTCAACCCTTGAAAATTGAATGTTTGACTGGAATTAAATTTGATTTACACTTTAATTCCAGCAAAAATGCTTATTGGGTTATTTTGTTTTTATTTTCCCCTTACATTTAGAGTTGGAAAACAACCAGACAAGTGTAGAAAGGAATGTAAGAAAAAATAAACTCACTGTTATTGTTGGTGTTTTGTCAAAACTTTAATGTTTTGTGAAAGATGCGTTTTGAATTCTTATTGAGTTTAAAATAATTCTTTCATAAGACATTTCTAGTTTTCCTAAAATATTGGGAAAGGTTTCCTGATGAGCTGGCTTAAGCAACCGGCGAAATGCTTCCCCACCATCAATACATTACATTGAATTTATTTAAAAATTGAGGTTGAAAGCACGATAAGAAACTCTTTAACTTATTTGGAAAAAATAATAAAAATCCCGAAATCAATTTTTAAAATAAAAAAAAAAGTTTTTTGCTCTCCTGAAAACTTGTATTATTTTAGATAGAGACTATAGAATATAGTCCCTCGATTAAGCCATGTCCGGCTGTGTCTGTTGTAATAAATTTTCTAAAGACATGCTTTCGAGAAGTTTCCTATTTAAAATCAACAAAATCCGTTCATAAATAACGGAGGTACTAATTTATGAATATAAACCATACAAACGGTTTGACAAAAATTAAATATATTTTTATATTATATACATATAAACATTTGTACAAACACGAAACAGGCTTGCACAAACGTAAAACGTAGTCTATTTGATCGTGTACACTTTACGTATGTAAAGTCTAATGAAAAAGTAAAATTAAATTCCATCCCAGGGTGCACTTATAAGGTGATGTCAATTCTACAAAAACAACAAAAGTAGATACTTCTGTCAAAAAATTTACATGTTGCCACCGTGTTTTTTTTTAACTTACCTTACAAAAAGACAATCCGACATGCCCAAAAATCTCTTCACGTAAATTAAATATGTATTATAAGATAAAATTTATTAAAAATTATACATGAATTGAAAAATTATTCACAAACAAAATTTTTATTTTATAAACGGTATTTTGTATGGAAATTTTGTTTTATAAACCTTTTATAAAATAAAAATGTTGTTTGTGAATATTATTTATTATTTACTTATTAAAAAAGTAAATAAATTATCAATTAAAATAACAAAAAATTAGTATTAGATTACAAAATTGTAAGTAGTAGCAAAATTACAAATTATATACATATTATTTTTTATCAGTCAATATTGGGAACTTATAATACCGTGTAGGTCTCTACTAGTGTCGTATAAGAAATATATAATGATCTTTATATAAATGTGACCAACCACTACCACGGAAAGTTGTTAAAAATTAAGATATCTATGATAAAATCGAGTTTTAATAATTTTTTTACAATTGTGGGATGTTTGTACTCTCAATTGATTAGTAAAAAGTTCCCTATAATTGATAAAATAGATGCATATTTAAGACAAATAGTTTGTGCAATTTTTGAGTATTTCGCATAAATTTACTACGGATTAAAATGAATATAAAATTTATTTATTAATTTTTTGTCCTAAAAATATAATGAATCCCTAGATAGATGTACATATTTTTTTGGATTGTGGCAACTCTAAATGGTGCACTTTGACAGTTGTATCTACCTCAAATAAAAAAAATGTGATCAGCTGTTGAATTGACTTCACCTTATATGTGCACCATGTTCCATCCTTAG